GGCCTTGCTGAGCAGATCAGCTCTTGGGTTGACACGGGACAGGCCTGCGACCTGGAGAGGGGGATTGACAGCGACACAGAGCTCGCAAGCGGCAGTGCTGGCACTCTGCGTGTGCAGGGTCCGGGGTGGGCGGGCACTGGGGGACCCACGAGCTGGCGGCAGGCACAGCGGCCTGGGGGAGCTGGCTTCTGGAGACGCCCCCCCCAAGCCCGCAGCCTCGCCCTCCTGCCTCACCTACTCCCGGCCCCAAGGAGCGGCCAGACCCTGGGACTCCTGGCGTCGACATGGGGCCTCCCCCGGTGCCTCCTGGGGACCTACACCCTCCTGCCGGCCGGCTGCTCGGGATTTGGTCCTGACAAGTGCCCGAGGCGGCACCCTCCTAGCCCTGCCCTGGCTCGGCGAGTCCCCGCAGGGCCCCTTCATCGCCTGTGCCTGCCCTCGCTGGCAGGCCCTGCTCAGCCCTCAAGGCCGCAAGGTGCCGCGTCTTCCCCATAGCTTGGGGGGGGGCTCACCTCCCTCGTCCCCTGTCGCATGTGTAAACTTCAGGGATGGAGCCTGTCAGTTGCTTGTTTGTAAAACCAAAACATTTGGGACCAAATAACCCTGCTTCAGCGCTTCCTAGGCATCGACCTGCAGCAAGTTACTTGGTTGCCTCAGTCTCCTAACCTAGAAAATGGGGATATGGCAGTAGATGGCCCACGAGGTGAGGCCCAAGCCCACGCTCAGGGTTCTCCGCCCACCTCCCCCCAGGGCAGCCCCACACTGCGGCCTGAACCCCCCCCTCCCCCGCCCAGCCCTGATGAGGTCCACCTGGTGCTTTCCTGCTCTCAGTGGAGAGAGCAAACAGCTGGCGGAGCTGGGCGCATCTGCCTGTGAGCCGGGTTCGGGAGCAGGTGCAGCAGCCCCTGGACCAGCCCCTGCGTCCCTCTCGGCCACGAGCGCTGTGGCCTCTGCACTCAGGCCTGAGACAGGGACAGCCCGGCCGCCAGCTGCCCAGGTTGCCAGCCGCGGATCCGCCCGCCTTGCGCCACCGGCTCCGGAGCCACCCCTCGGGCCGCAGGCTCCGTACTGGGCCTGGCCTACCACCCGGGGCCAGGGGGCGCTGCGGGGTGCGGGGTGCGGCAGGCAGCTGGCGGCCCGGGCCATCCAGGCAACACTTAGTGAGGTGGGCAGGGGCCACGCGGGGAGGGCCAGCCAGGAGCCGGGACAGCGGTGGGGCCAGGGTGTCGCTCGGCTCCGTGGGCATCAAGTTAGCGACAGCACGAGGGGTGGACGGCACAGAAAGACCTGGATCGCGGTGGTGGGGGGGTGGGCAGGGCCGGGCCGCGGTGTCAGGACGCCTAGGGACAAGGCCACCGCCATCCCGCTGTGCGGCCCGCAGAGCCCAGGTGCGGGGCAGTGGGATGGTCCCTGGCCGGGCTGAGGGTGCTGTGACACCTTCAGCACAAGAGCAGGGGGGGGGACCAGAGAGCCTCGGACGTAACCTGGAGGGGGTTGAGGTGTCCCAGGGCCACAGCAAGGCTCCACCCAGGCAGGAGGCGAGGCTCAGGATGCTGTCCGTCTGTCGCTCTCCCTCTGCCTCTGCTCCCCCAGGCTGGCTTTCTGAGGCAGAGACCGGGAAGGGTCTGGACACACCTCGGGCTGCGGACACAGCGGCCAGCCCGCCGCCTCTAGCCCAACTACACTCTACCTGCATTTCAGAGGCCACAGCACCAGGAGGAAGGGCCTCTTTTATCTGTTGGGTGTTTGGGGGATTGTTCGGGGCCTCCGTGGCCTGCCCCCGCAGAGCACCTATATTCCGGGCTACAGGCCTCACCAGGTGGGTGCTTCTGTCATCTGGTCTCCTTGTCTGTTCTAAATCACAACTGAGGGGATCCCTGGGTGGCTCAGCGGTTTGGCGCCTGCCTTTGGCCCAGGGTGCAATCCTGGAGTCCTGGGATCGAGTCCCACATCAGGCTCCAGGCATGGAGCCTGCTTCTCCCTCCTCCTGTGTCTCTGCCTCTCTCTATGTCTATCAAAAATAAATAAATAAATAAATCTTTAAAAAAAAATAAAGCACAACTGAGGGGATCCCTGGGTGGCTGAGCAGTTTGGAGCCTGCCTTCAGCCCAGGGTGTGGTCCTGGAGTCCGGGGATCGAGTCCCACATCAGGCTCCCTGCGTGGGGCCTGCTTCTCCATTTACCCGTGTCTCTGCCTCTCTCTCTCTCTCTCTGCGTCTCTTGTGAATAAATAAAGGAAAATTTTAAAATAATAATAATAAAGCACAACTGAATATCCTTGAATTGTGCGGCACACACACATTTTCACTTTGAGTTAATCCTCAGGTCACTAGTATAATCATAAAGGGGATTTCTTCCTGATTTTGAAAAAAATGTTGGCAAATCCTTGAAGTGTTTGTGGCTCTTATTTTAATATTTTATTTTATTATTATTTTTTTAAGATTTTATTTATTTATTCATGAGAGACACAGAGGCAGAGACACAGGCAGAGAGAGAAGGCTCTCTGCAGGCTCCATGCAGAGAGCCCAATGTGGGACTCAATCAATCCCAGGACTCCAGGATCATGCCTTGGGCCAAAGGCAGGCACCTAACCGCTGAGCCACCCAGGTGTCCCAAGATTTTATTTATTTATTCACGAGAGACACATAGAGGCAGAGACCCAGGCAGAGAGAGAAGGCTCTCTGCAGGCTCCACGCAGGGAGCCCGATGTGGGACTCCATCCCAGGACCTCAGGATCACTCCCTGGGCCAAAGGCAGGTGCTAAACTGCTGAGCCACTCCCTATTTGTGGCTTTCTTATGAAGTAAGCTAATGATACACTTGAAGAAGTACCCTTTAAAAAAAAAAAGTACCCTTTTTCCAAACACAAAGTCAATTTTCTTTTTTTTTTTTTTAATTTTTTTTATTTACGATAGTCACACACAGAGAGAGAGAGAGAGAGGCAGAGACATAGGCAGAGGGAGAAGCAGGCTCCATGCACCAGGAGCCCAACGTGGGATTCGATCCGGGGTCTCCAGGATCACGCCCTGGGCCAAAGGCAGGCGCCAAACCGCTGCGCCACCCAGGGATCCCCAAAGTCAATTTTCAAACCTCTTTTTCCAATGTTTTTTTAAAGATTTTATTCATTTATTCATGAGACACAGAGAGGCAGAGACACAGGCAGAGGGAGAAGTAGGCTCTCTGTGGGGAACCCAATGTGGGACTCGATCCCAGGACCCTGAGATCATGACCTGAGCTGAAGGCAGACACTTAACCTACTGAACCACCCAGGTCCCTGACAGGATTTCTTTTTAAAAGGGTGAGTAAAATTCTATGGATGGACTGCAGTTTGCTTATCCATTCATCCATCAATGGATACTTGGGTTGCCTCGACCTTCGGGTTTATGAATAATACTGCTATGAATACGGGCATACAAACACCTGTCCAAGATCCTGCTTCCTGGGTGGCCCAGTGGTTGAGCATAAATGAACATAAATGTCTTCCTTCATGATAGTCACTTCCAGGTCTGCATATTTTACCATACCTGCCTAAAACAGACCCTAGGTACATTTTAGCCCATCGTGAGGCCGAGTGCCCAAAGATGCCGGCCAGTGGAGTCTCTGTTGAAGGCACTATCGCTCTGGGCCACCAGCTAGGATACAGAAAGTGTCCTTGGAAACGCATCTTCTTGTAAGTGATGAAAGTGGGCTTTTTCCCCAGGAACATTTATGGTGTGGAATCCCAATCCCAGATGGGAAATGGTTGGAAAGCAAACTGGGCTGCTTGGGGAAGGGACCCTGAGCACTCAGTGTTCAGGCCTGTGGCTGTGAACAGTTGGTTGGTTTGTTCTTTGGGCCCAAGGTTTGGGGAGTTTGGCGGGCCTGGGGTATGGAGGTTCCTGGAACGCCCGCAGTGTATGGAAGCAATCCCCGTCACCCCCCCCCAACCCCCCCCCCCTCCGGCAGCGCCCGCCGGGCCTCAGCAACCCCAACGCTGCCCAGGTGTGGGCTGGGTGCCACGGGGGCTGCGACGGCTCTGTCCAAGGCTCTGCAGATCCGAGCGTCGGCTTTGGTCCTCCTGTTGCCCCAGGATCATCCGGGCCATGACCCACCGGCCCGCCGCCAGTAGGCATCCTGCAGGGTGAAGACTCTCCATCTGGGAGTCTCCCGTAGGTCAGCGCACCGCACCGGGAAGAAGCCCGGAAGCGCTTCCTGGGGGATTAGGACCAGGAGGGCGGCTGGGAAGTAGGCATTTCTCTGTCCTCCCTGTTCTCCGTTCACTCGTTCTTGCGGAGGGTGCTGCCGGAGCTGAGCGCGGGGCGCGGCGGGAGCGCTGAGACCCCGAGGCCGGGGAGGGGAGAGAGTCTCCCAGGGGCCCGGGGGCGGGGTGGGGTGGGGTGGGGTGGTAGTCCCCAGGACGGCCCTGGGGTGGAGGGCCGGGCCCACCCCGCCACTTCCTTCCCCCGGGCGGCGCCAGATTTCCCCGCGGTTCTCGGCGACCCCAGGACTTGGGTCACCAGCGACTCGGAGGTTAGGTCCGTCTCCCCAGAGAAGTCCTGCGCATTCTACGCCCCGCCCTTCCCGCCTCCCGGGCGCCTCACCCTCCGCACCCCGGCGATGCCCCCTGCCTGGACCGGGTGCCCCCCTCCCGGAGGACACCCGTCGTCTCCGCTTGGCTTCTCTGTCTCCTCCCCGAACCCCCTCCACCCCGGGGCTGCGGGCCGTTCACCTCTCGGGGCGGCGGACGCCGGGCCCTCCTCTCCCCGGCTGCTGACCCCGCCCCTGGGCCCGCCCCGGCCCCGCCCCGCCCGCCTCTCCCCGGCGCTCTGGCCCCGCCCCTACCCCGCGCCCGGGCCGGGGATCACCGAGGGCACTGAGCCTCCGAGCGGCCCAGAGCGGCCGGAAGTTGGTGGGACGGGGCGGGAGCGAGCGTCGGAGGCCCGCTTCCGGTTTTGTCGCGCGTCTGGAGCCTCGGGCGGTCCACGGGGAGGGTGAGTGGGCGCGCCGGGCGCGGACTCGGGTGTGGGCGGCGGGCCTGCTGCTCGACCCCGCGCGGAGGCGCCGCCGGCCGAGCCCCGCGTCCTCCTGCCCCCGGCGCTGCGGGCCCCGCGCTGCCCTGCCTCCCGCGGGGGTCGGGGGCGCGAGCGGCGTGCGGAGGCCTGGGGCGCCTGGTGTGGGCGCTGCTCGGGCGGCGGCCGCGTGGCCGGCGGGCAGGGGCGTTGGGTCCGGCTCCCCGCGCGGCCTACTCGCCGGGTCTGCGCCTGCGCCTGCCCGCGAGCCCGCCGCTTCCCGGGGCCGCCTCTCCCGGTCCGCCGCCTGTGGAAGACTTCACTTCCTGACGGTGCAGGAGGGGCTGCGCCCGGGCGGGGTGGGCGGCCGGCCTTCGTGACCCCTGCCGCCCCGGCCTGGGCTGCTGCCCACGAGCCCCTGTCTGAGCCAGAGGCGCCCGCGGGGAGTCCACCCCGCCTCCCGGCGTCCAGGGGGCGAGCCTGGGGCGGCGGCGGGCCCTGCAGTCTCCACTGCCTTCTGTGACCTTGTTCGGGCCCGTCCTCCAGCCACGCTCCCCGACTCCGGCTGCCCGGCCGCGCCTCCTCCCCGGGCTAGTGAGCTTCTCTGGGGCGGGACCGTCGAACGACCAGAGTCCCTTCTCTGGGGCGTGATCTCGGAGGTGATGCGTTTGCATAGTTTTGACTCTTCATACTGCCTCGGGAAGGCAGGGTTCCCGCGCACTGTGCGCTGCTGCGTCCCCGTTGCTTAGTCTGGCACTTGGCGTGGGTGGCAATCCGCACCTCACACACTGAAAGATGAATGAAGCTTCGGGGCGGGGGGGCAGATGCTCCAGTGCTGTGGCCGCTTTGGCCTCACCTTATGTCCCTGCCAAAGAACGTCTGAGCTTAGAGGTAAAGGATCGGAGATTTCAGCCTGGAATTCAGGGATCGGGACCCTCCAGCACCCTGACCTCTGACCCTTTCCTAATCACCAACAGGTCCCTCCGCCAGGACACATGGATGCCAACCCACCGAGCCTCATGGTAGGAGCCTGCCTGCCTCCATTCCCGCTAGAGTCCTACCTTTTTCCTCTGGGAACCTACCCTGCCCGCTGGGCCTGGTCCTAGACCCTCATCAGTCCCTGGTGGCCCTTGCCAGGCTCAGGCATGCTCATCCTTACAGGAGCGAACAAACCCCTGCCCAGACTGGGGCCCATGTGAGGCCCTCATGGGGGGAGGTTTGTAGATCACCCTGGTCTGGCTTCCTCCTCCCCTCGGTTTTTAGAACCGAAAGGGCCTGGTGACTGGCTCAACCCTGTGGTGCATGTGCCTGAGACACACACATGAGGTGGAGCCAGAATGGGGCTGGCACCCAGGGTTTCCTGGGGTGCTGGTGTATGTCTTTTCAGGAGGCTGTGACGTTTGGTGACGTGGCCGTACACTTCTCAAGGGAGGAGTGGCAGTGTCTGGACCCTGGCCAGAGGGCACTGTACAAGGAGGTGATGCTGGAGAACCACAGCAGCGTGGCTGGACTAGGTGAGGCTGTGTCTTGGGACCCCTCCTCCTGAATCATGGGTCAGCACCCACCTAGTCAGGCCCGTTGTCTGGGGGGTGGGGGGGCCGTGGGTCTCTGAGGGTCAGGAACTGACCCTGGGATGTGTCATGGTGAGTTCTGCGCATTGTAAACACCATTTTGCATGCTCTTATGTTTGTTAACTTTGTGAGGTCAGATTTTAATGAAATTCAATGTATTCGCCTTATGGATTGCACGTTTGAAACTTTATTTAAAGATTCTTTCAAAAAAAAAATTCTTTCATACTCTAAGGTCATGGAGACAGTCTACACGTTCTCCTGTGGGCTTTCTAGTTTATCTTTCTTGTTTAGATCTGGGCTCCACGTTTGTGTCTGGAGTTAAGTAGGAGCCCATCCTTTTCCATTGATTTGTGGGGCTACCTTTCTCCTGTGTGACAGTGTGCTTCCCAGCTGGCCTTGTAGTGTGTCTTAACGCCTGGTAGGACAACTTGCCTTTTTTGTTCTTTTTAGTAAAACTTCACTTAACTTATTCATGGGTAATAGAGTAATTCTTTCATGTAAATTTAGAGTAAGTTTGAGTTTTTTAATACTTGGAACTGAGCTTTTCATTGGGGGTGCTTTGAATTTGTAGAATTCCTAAAAGGAAAACTAATCTCTCATACTAATTGTTCTCATCCAAGATCATAGAACGTGTCTCCGTTTGTTCCATTTACTTCCTGTGTAGTTTGCTCTATTTTTAACTGATTATTGTTGCTGTACAGAAATGCAGTTGGTTTTTTGAGGGTTGATCTTGTATTTGGCAATTTTGTTGAACTTCCAGCTAGTCTGGTGCCTTATTCTAAGAGAGGGTTTCCCCCTCTATTTCCCAGTGTCCCAACAGGTAGCTGTGGCCAGAACTACACTGCTGTGTTAGGCAGGACTGCTGTGGGCAGGCCTGTTTTGTTCCTCATTTTATTTTATTTTATTTTATTTTTTATTTTATTTTATTTTATTTTATATTTTATTTTTTTGATTTATTTATGATAGTCACAGAGAGAGAGAGAGATGCAGAGACACAGGCAGAGGGAGAAGCAGGCTCCATGCACCGGGAGCCCGATGTGGGATTCGATCCCGGGTCTCCAGGATCGCGCCCCGGGCCAAAGGCAGGCGCCAAACCGCTGCGCCACCCAGGGATCCCCTGTTCCTCATTTTAAAGGGAATACTTCTAGGGATGCCTGGCTGGGTCAGTCCACTGACTGAGTGTGCAACTCTTGATCTTAGGGTTGTGAGTTTGAGTCCTACATTGGATGTGGAGATTACTTTAAGAAACAAAAAAATAGCCATTTCTTTTAAAAAAAATAAAGGGAATGCATGTAATTAAAATTAGAAGAAAGTGGCTAAGGAGGTTTTTTTCCTCTCGATTGTATTTATTTATTCATTTGAGAGCAAGAGCTCGAACAAGGAAGGGGAGCTGCAGAAGGAGGAGAAGCAGACTCCCACTGGGTAGGGAGCCTGATGCGGGGCTCGATCCCAGGACCCCAGGATCATGACCTGAGCCAAAGGTAGATGCTTCACTGACTGAGCCACCCAGGCGCCCCAGGAATTTTGTTTTCAATCATAATACATTGGGAGGCACCTGGCTGGGTCAGTCAGTGGAGTGTGAGACTCTTGATCTCAAGGTTGTGAGTTCAAGGCCCATGTTGGGTGTAGAGGTTACTTAAAAAATAAAACACTTAAAAAAACAAAACAAGGACATTGGATTTCAAATTTTCTGCATCAATTGGGAACTCATACAATTTTTTTTTCTTAGTTAAGCTCATTTTATTGTATTTTTGGAGTAAACTCTATTTAAATTATATTTTATGTATGAACTTTGATATCATTTTGGATTCAGCTAGGCAGTATTGTATTTCAGATTTTTTGCTCCTGTTCATAAGGGAATTGGACTTTAATATGTTTCTTTTTGTGAATTGTTCTTATATATTTTTGGAAGCGGCACTTGGTATGTCAGTTTCATAAGATGAGCTGGGCAGCTTTTGCTGTCTTTTTAATTTCTGGAAGAATTTATGTATGTGGATTTATAGTTTTTGGTAGAATTCACCTGTAAAACCATCTGGGCCTTGGGCTTTTGGGAAAGGAAGGTCTTCCAGTAGCATTTGTTTTTTTAGTGAAAAATAGTCAAATTTGTGAATTTCCTTTTGTGCTCATTTTGTCATTTTTAGCGTTCCTATAAGTTGATGTGTTCATTTAGATTTTTAGTTCCTTTGCAGACTCTTTAGTGTCAGAACCACTGAGGATCCTGGCCCTGCTATGGATGGGGAAGGGCTGAGAGTCCAGGCATCTCGGTGTCCAACCTCAGGACTGGGACCGATCTGGAAAGAGGGCCACTGTGCCCCGATCCTCACCCCCGATGCTTCCTCCGGAGGCTTTGCCTGTGCTCTGGCAGCCCCCTGCCTCGTTACTCCTGACAGTAAGGGTGCTGGACCCTGTGCTGGGCCCTCAGCTATACTGACACAGTGTCCTTCTCTGCCATCCCCACAGCAGGATTCCTGGTCTTCAAGCCTGAGCTGATCTCCCGGCTGGAGCAGGGGCAGGAGCCATGGGTCCTCGACCTGAAGGGAGTTGAAGGGAGAGAGGGGGCAAGGACCTTCCTTACAGGTGAGGCTCAGGCCTGAGTTTCTGGGTCCAGGGCTGAGGAGGTGTTCAGAGAACTCATGCCCACCAGAGAACTCATGGGAAGCTGGACCTGGACCCTAGGGACTGACGAAGCAGGAGCGCTGGATGCCTGGGAACACATGGCCACAGGTGGGGCTGTTGACAGAAGCACAGCCCAGCTGTGGGGTTGCATTGGGAGAGACCGAAGTGCAGAGAAGCAGGGACATGAAATTCTTGCGAGTTATAGCAAAAACAGTTTGTCTTTAAGGCACATGTTGAATTTCTAACATACTGATATTCTTGCTAAGCAAAAGTGACGATCCAAGGGAAGCACTGAGTTTGGCTCTGCGCAGGCTTCAGGGCTGCGTCGGTGTCATGGGTGCTCTAACACAGCGTCACAAATGTGGGACTTACAAGCACAGAGGTTAATCGTCTCCACTCCAGATGTCCAGAACCAAGACGCTGGCAGGATCCTGTCCCTGTGAAACCACTAGGGAGGGACCCTTCTGTCTCCTCCAGCTTCTGGTGGCCCCTGGTGTTCTTTAGCTTGTGACTGCGTCACTCCCCGGTCTCTGCCTCCGTCATCACGCCCCCCTCCCCACCCACCCAGGTCGTCCTGAAAGGGCACCAGTCGTGTAGAATTAGGTGCCTCACCAGCGCAGCCTCATCTTAACTAGCACTCAACAGTCCTGTTGTACAAGATCCTATTCTGAGGTCCTGGGGCTGAGCTTCAGCACACATCTTCGGGGGCACAGTCTGCCCATAATAGAGGTCTCTGCCACCGTGTGGCATTGGCTCCCACTGGGCTCCTGTTGAGGGGATGCCATTGCCTCAGCCTTGTCTGAGCCTCCCTAGCTGACCCGTTGCCCAGTTTGCTCAGGGCAGTGAGATTGTATGCATCTTGGCCACGGAAGAGGATCCTGCCTGCTACCTGCCATGTCTTCCTCCCACAGTCCCTGGCTGGCTGGGAAGCAAGTTGGAGAATCAGACTGTGGCAGTTAGGGCCCTGGAGTCCTCCCTAAAGCAGGTTCCCGAGTCTCTGCAGAGCATCCTCACACGCACCGTCGTGTGGAAGGTGGCAGAAATACAGGCAGTGTTGGGGGCTTGACCCCCACCCCCAGCATCCTTGGCTCTGTCACTGAAGCCCCTGCCTTCCTGTGGAGGCCCCTCCCTGGCCCTTCCTGGGAAGGATCTAATGCTGTACACCAGTCCACTTACACCCCAGCCACTGTTAAGTTTTTCTAACGGGGAGGGGAGATTTCAAAGAGGCAGGAGAGCTAGCTGGAGCTGGGCGGATTTGGGTAGTTGGTGGGTTCATGCGGAACAAACGGTCTTTACGGTGATGAGTCAGCAGCAAAGAAAACGAGATGTGTAGACCTGCTCTGAGCCTGACAGCACAGGGCAGGAGCACAGCCTCGCAGATGAAAATGTGTGGAGCGTGTTAGAGAAACGTATGTGCCCAAGGTGTTACCTGCGCCTGGTGCAGCAGATTGCCGAGGAGTGGCCCAGAGTGGCAGGAAGGTGCGGAGCTGCACCCCGACCCACCATCATCACACCTGTCCCCAGCCTGCCGGGACACACGTCAGTTCTCTGAGGCAAAACCACTTCCAGAGTGAAGCTGTTTTTTTAAACATGTGCTTGCAGCTCTTCAGGGGTTACCTGGAGTTTGCAGATAAGAGATCTCAAGTTCCAGGGGAGGGTGAGAACTCTGGGCTTCAGTTAGGAGTACCCAGGGGTGCCTGTGGGCAGTGTCAGACACATAAATGGCCCAGCGGTGGTTAAAATGGTGAGGATGTGTTTTTGATCCATAGTAGTTTTTGTGATGGAGAAGAGTCCAGTGTGGGTGAACACGGCTTCCATCTGTTCAGATGTGGCCGGGGCAGGCAGGGGTGAGCAGGCAGGAGCTAGGCCCTGTGACACCCACCTGGGCTTGCTGACCACTGCCTGTGGGAGTTGGGTCCTGCTCTCCCACGGAGGTTGGGAGACTCCCTGTCCCTCAGGTGTGGCTGGAACAAGCGGTCGGTTGTGCTGGCAGCCTTGAGTTTTCCCAGGTACACACCTTACGGGAGGCAGAGCCATCCTAGGGGTGCAGCCTTGAGCTGCAAGAAGCAGCACTGGTGTGTTGTCCCTTACGGGCCAGGGTTGAGGCCTGGTCGAGAAAGGCTGGGGAGCCTGGGCTGGGCTCGGCTGGAGGGTCTTTGTCAGAGGGTGTCAGCAGAGGCAGGGAGAAGTGGACCTGAAGTGGGGAGCCCCTGAGGCTGGGGCAGGGGGTGTTGTTCTCAGACTCGGTCATAGGGAACCAGATGGAGGCCGACCCCAGAGTGGTCGGGTGCATTTGTGGCTGCTTTAGCCCCGTGGGGTTAGCATTTTCTCTGTGAGCAGGAGGTCCCAGCCCCAAGGCTGCAACCATCTCCACCGTGGTCTCCCCTGGCGTCCGTAGGGGCCTCTGCTCTCCACTAGGAGGCAGTGGAAAGCAGAGCTTGCCCGTTTTCTCAGCTGCAGAGCAGAGGGAGGCCTGGGCAGAGGGTGAGGGGGCCAGTGCCACATGGCCAGCCCTGCCCCGTGAAGGGTGTGGGATTGCGCAGTGAAGACCAGTCAGGGGATCCCTGGGTGGCGCAGCAGTTTAGCGCCTGCCTGGCCCAGGGTGTGATCCTGGAGACCCGGGATCGAATCCCACGTCGAGCTTCCTGTATGGAGCCTGCTTCTCCCTCTGCCTATGTCTCTGCCCCTCTCTCTCTCTCTCTTTCTCTGTGACTATCATGAATAAATAAATAAAATCTTAAAAAAAAAAAACAGGAGAGCCCCCATGTCCTAAGGGCACAGAGAGGTTGAATGGGCAAGTGGTGGGAGGACAGACCCAGGTCCATTCCTAGTTCTCTCCTTGGCTGTGTGTCTGAGGGGCCACAGGTTCCTTATGGGGGGCGGGGGTCCACTACTGGCCTCATTGGATTATCATGAAGACTAAGTGAGGAATGGCTGGAACCCTGTTCCTTACCCACAGAAGATGCTCAGTGTGATGGCCTTTTCGTCACCTGGGACCACCCGGAACTGCGACCGCTGGAGCTGGCGAGGGCATTGATGTTAGGAGCCACCAGGAACCCCGTGACTGGACCCCTGGAGGATTTCACTCAGAACCCCACTTCTCAGACTCACCCCAGGGGTGCCCCTCAGCAGCTGTCCAGCCTTGTCCTCAGAGCCTGCCTGTTCCTCTGCTCATAGTTCTACCGTCTTCACAGGATGCCTGGGGGGGCTCAGTGGTTGGGCATCTGCCTTCGGCTCAGGGCGTGACCCCAGGGTCCTGGGACCGAGTGTGCACTGGGTTCCCCACGGGGAGCCTGCTTCTCCCGCTGCCTGTGTCTCTGTCTCTTTCTGTGTTTCTCATGAGTAAATAAAACCTTTAAAAACAAATAAAAATAAATAATAAATCCCTCTTCCCCTCACTTCACCTCCTCTGGATCCAGGAGCCTCTGGCCACACTTGGCAGGCTCTCAAGATCCCTGCTTCTTCATGGGTTTTCACTCGTACCAGTTCCCCACAGGATGGACGTCCGCTCACGTGCCTGCACGCAGGAGCACGTGGTACTGGGATGAACGCAGAAAGTGAAGTGAAAAGTATTAGTGACACCAAATTTTGGGCGCTGTCAAAGGCATGACTTCTGGTAGTGTTTTTCCATGTGGGTCTATCCTTGCTTGATGCAGCCTGTCCTGGGAGGGCACTCCGTTCCCAGGGATGACCCGCACCCCCCATCCCCACCCTGGTCTCTGTCCTGTTTCTCGAGCACAGGGGATAATGGACATCTTATTTTCTGTTTCAGATTCTGCGGGTGGGATTGCGAGCGAGCAGGCTGGTGAGGACGTGGATGTTCTAAAATCAGAACCCTGTGCAGCAATGATGGTCAGAAGCCCCCCACCGGCTTTTCCTCAGAGTTCTAGCTTTAGCGACTCCTCTGATGGTGCAGTCTGGTCAGAGAATAAGCCAGGCTCTCTCCAGAGAACCCGCCTGAGCACGGGGACTGTGGCTCCCAGGAAGACCTTTACGAGGGAGGGTGCCCAGGGATGTGGTGAGCTGGAGAGCAGTGGTGGTCTGGGTTGTCAGCCTGGTGAAAGTCTGGGAGGTGCCGCAGAAGGGACGTCCCGAAGGTGTGACGTGTGTGGCCGAAGCTTCCGGTCTGCTTCAGACATTGCTCTGCGTCGAGAAATTGATACACGAAAGAAACCAAACACATGTCCGGAGTGCAAAACAAAAGTACCTGATTGTTTGCAGGGGAAGCCTCAAGGTAACTGCCACGGAGAGAAGCCGTATGAATGTGAGGAGTGTGGGAAGGTCTTCAGGTTGTGCTCACAGCTTAATCAGCATCAGAGGATCCACACTGGCGAGAAGCCATTCAAATGCATCGAGTGTGGAAAAGCCTTCCGTCTGAGTTCAAAACTTATTCAGCATCAAAGAATTCACACTGGAGAGAAGCCCTACCGGTGTGAGGAGTGTGGAAAGGCCTTTGGTCAGAGCTCCAGCCTCATCCACCACCAGAGGGTCCACACGGGGGAGAGGCCCTATGGCTGCCGGGAGTGTGGGAAGGCCTTCAGCCAGCAGTCTCAGCTGGTCAGACACCAGAGGACCCACACTGGAGAGAGGCCCTACCAGTGCCAGGAGTGCGGGAAGGCCTTCAGCCAGAGCTCGACCCTGGCCCAGCACCAGCGGATGCATGCTGGGGACAAACCTCAACTTCCAAGGAACCCAGATAGCCCCAGCCTTGTTGCACATCAGAGAATACACGCTACAGAGAAGCCATTTAAGTGTGACGAGTGTGGGAAGGCCTTCAGGTGGGTGTCTCGTCTGAGTCAGCACCAGCTGACCCACACCGGAGAGAAACCTTATAAGTGCAACAAGTGTGCAAAAGCCTTTGGTTGTAGCTCACGGCTTATTCGCCACCAGAGAACTCACACTGGAGAAAAGCCATTTAAATGTGAGGAGTGCGGGAAAGGCTTTGTCCAGGGCTCCCACCTAATTCAGCACCAGAGAATTCATACTGGAGAGAAACCCTATGAGTGTAGTGACTGCGGAAAGGCCTTCAGCCAGAGCTCCAGTCTCATTTACCATCAGAGAATCCATAAGGGAGAGAAGCCGTACGAGTGCCTGGAATGCGGAAAAGCTTTCAGTATGAGCACACAGCTCACGATCCATCAAAGGGTCCACACTGGGGAGAGACCCTACAAGTGTACGGAGTGCGGGAAAGCGTTCAGTCAAAACTCAACCCTTTTCCAGCACCAGATCATCCACGCAGGAGTGAAGCCCTACGGGTGCAGTGAGTGTGGGAAGGCCTTCAGTCGGAGTTCCTATCTCATCGAGCACCAGAGGATCCACACTCGTGCTCAGTGGTATCATGAATATGGGAATACCTTGGAAGCTTCTACCCACGTGAGCCGTAAAAAAGTCAACACTGTAAAGAAACTGCATAAATGTAACGAATGTGAGAAAATATTCAGGTGGCGCTCGCATCTAATCATACATCAGAGAATTCACACAGGAGAGAAACCTTACAAATGTAATGAATGTGGCAAAGCTTTTAATCGGAGCTCCAGGCTTACTCAGCATCAGAAAATTCACATGGGATAGAGCACTTCCCTTTATAAATGTGTATAAATGTGAATAAACCTGCAGCCTTATCTTCATGTATTTTATATCGTTTATACTAACAAGAATTTGGAATGTGGGGATAGGTTGCAAATTATTAAGAAAATGTCCAAATGCATACCAAGTGGATGTTTCTTTGGTGGAATGTGTGACTTTATCCCACTCAGCAAAGCCTGTGTCCCTCAAGTCAGGGTGCTTGTGCGTAGAGTTCCGAGTTCACGGAGGGAAGACCCAGGCCCTGTGGATGAGGAGGAGTCCTGGCCCATGAGCTTTGCCAGACCCATAGCTTAGCAGTTACCCAGAGGGTCTTCCCTCCGCGCCAGGTCCTCAGGCTGGCTTCAGTGGTGGGGTGTTAGCTCGGGCTAGCGGGAACCCAGAGGGACGTGCCTAGAACTCCTTCCTCCCACCTTCTTCACTTGACTCCTCTTCTTCCAAGTCTGCTCCCATCAGAGCAAGCTGGGGATCAGCCAGAGGGCCTGGTGTCAGCAAGAGGAGCTCCATCCGCACACGACTCCAGGAGTAGCACCCAGGCCCAGGGACCTGCTCTGTGACTCTGGGACGTCACTGTCCCTGGAATCCAGAGTCGTGCAGGGCAATCGTAAGAGATGAACTGTGTACGAGAGCCGCTCCCCTCCCACACAGACCCCGTGCCAGCATCTGGGGCCGGACCCAGGCAGACTCGGCACCGCAGGGACAGCTCCTGGGAGCCCAGCAGATGCTACCCAGAGGCCAGGGTGTGTCCTGTTACTGCTGCTTCCCACGCTTCCTCTGTTCCTCCTGCCGTGCAAACTGCAGACTGACAGGTGAGCCTGTAGCCTGTTCCCAGAGGCTGGTGGAGATGGAGGCCATGGGCTCACCAGCAGGATCGGGTTAACCAATGCTGGTGGCGGCCCCGCCCTAGCGTCCTGGACTCACCACTGTGAGAGTTCGAGGGGACCAGAAGTCTTAGATTGGCTACTGTCCACTTCCACTCACTCAAGACCTGCCCATCTGTGGTGTCATTGCCAGTTACCACCGGGGCAAAATTGGGGCCAAAGATCCCTCCCTGTCCCCGTGGAGAGGCCCATTTCTTCAACATAGACAAAGGTAATCCAGAGGGACACAGGTCAGTCACTTGAGTATTGCAACACCTGACTTGGGTCACCAGCACACTGGTCTGGTTAAGCCTGTGGGTAGTTCCCCAAGACACAGGCTTGATGGCCACGTGTGGTACAGCCCAATATCAGGTTATGGATTTGTATCAGGTGAAAAAAGGGCTGGCTGGCCCTGTGTTTGAGCTGGGAGGTTCCAGAAATATCTGGCATAGGGAACAGCAGAGTTTGGGGTGGTCAGGTCCATCAGGTTTGGTTCCTGGCACGTTGACAGGGATCTCCGCCCTGTAGCACGTCAGCCCAGTCACAGCCACTGCAGCTTAGCCAAGCACCATGTGTGACGTGCTCTCAGGCGGCAGTGCTAGCTCTAGGGGGGGATTGCCCCCCAGCCTGTACCTGCACCTTTAGAGGTGGTCCCTCTCCAGGAGCAGGACACCATGAGGTCATTGTGCCCATTTCAGTAGCTCTAACGGCCTCTTCAGCTGTCCCTACTCCGCCCAGAACTTGTGTCCAAAGGCATCAATGCAAGGGGACCAGGGATTTTGTGGGCCCACGTGCCCTAGGCAGCCTGGTCGCTGAATGTGCCATCCCCGGAAGGGAATCCTCTCTGCCACCTCTGGGTAGTAGGACGCCGGGGTCGGAGGTTCTATGTATTCAATCTGGGCAGGATTCCGTCCTCCCAACAGCAACTGCAGGCCAGCCAGAAGGCCCAGAGGGTTCCACCTAAATCTGCACCTGGATTCTCTCTCTGGATGGACATGGCCCTCAGTTGGGGCCAGCACAGCCGGCCAGGGGGCAAGATGCAGCCTGCGGCCTGTGAAAGCAGGCATGCAGGCCATAGGCCGGCTGTCAGGTCACAGTCTAAGCCAGAGTCCGCTCCTATAAATGCACTCCTCTGAGAGCGCAGGTTTAGGGACGAACACAGATCCCAACAGCCACAAGCAGTCAGCTAGGTTCCTAGCTCTGCTCTGCATCTTCTCTGGCAGCCCCTCTCCCCGCTCCTGGCAGCACGGAGCTCCCAGTTTTTCAGTTGGGCGCTGCCCGGTTCCAGTCCATGTTTGCTCAAAGAAACTCTTCAAAAATTTGATGTACCTCAGTTTACCTCTTAAAGCTTAAAAGCTAAGAAGGGTTTTTACATTTTTAAGTGGGAAAAAAAAAGACTTATTTTGTGACATTTGAAAATTATATTGAAATCAAATTTCAGTTTGACCAAATAAAGTTTATTGGAACCGAGCTGGCCCCTTTGTGTGCAGGTTGCCTCTGGCCACTCTTGTGCTACAACCACGCGTGCTGGTCTTGCCTTGTTAACGTAGGTAAAAACCTCATGCCCTCCGACCTCTTGAGGAATTCGGTTTCCTCTGTATTTTTAGTGTGGTTTGTTCACCTAAACATCCCAATACCACCAAGAATTCAATAGAAATAAGCCTACAGGTCTACATTCCAGTCCGGAGCCTCGATTGCAGAAGTGTAGGATGAGGGGTCCTTCCTTAGCTGCACCCTCGTGACAGCCAAGTGGCCTGCTCGGCCAGGCTTGGCGAAATCCAGCCGCCTGGCCGCTTAAAATGCCTGGGGCTCGGGACCCCGGGAGCCGGCCGAGGGCATCTATGCGCCACGTGTGCTGGTGGCACTTTGTGGGGTGTGGGGGGGTGCAAGATTGGTAGGACGTTGTGTTCTACCTGCAAGCTGGGTTTCCCAGTTTGGGCCTTACTGAATACACGTTTTTAGGAACACCGAGAACTGTTTCGGAGTAGAGGTGATCTGGCATTTCTCTCTTGGAGACTGTAAACCTACAATTTTGACCTGAACTACTTTTTACTCAGTTACCAGATTAAGCTTTGATTTAGGATATCGGATTGGAACCACTGAGCTCCCCGGAAGCTCCAAAGAGGGGCGGGAGGGTGCGGGGCCCGCCGAGTTCACAGCCCTGTGGCTTCCACTCAGAGCCTCGGAAATGTGTCTGATGGCCCGGCTCAGCCGGATGCTCCCCAAACGCAGTAGATGCATTTGTTCAGCGCTCGGAGAAGAAGAATCTGGGCATCGAGTTTCCATACACGGGCCTCTGGCGCCTCCACAGGTGGAGCGCGTGACTTGATTGATCGCAGGGTCGTGAGTTCGAGCTCCACGTGGAGTGTGGAGATTATTAAAAAAAAAAAAAAGATTTCCACAGAGATCTGAAAAAGATCCAGAAAATGGAAAAGGGTCATCTTCCAAGCGGGAGTGTCCGCTCTGCATCCAAGGCCTTGTGCGGGCCTGGAGGCAAAGGTGGCCCTCGAATCCGGCAGTGGGAGGACTGAGCACAGGTGGGGCGGCCTGGGCACTGGGCTCACCCCCAGCCTGCCACCTGCTGTCCTACGGGCCCTATGTGGACCCAGTGTCCTGAGTGTGGCCTTAAAGGACCGAAGATGAAACGATCCCGTGACATGAAATTAAAATCTTCTCGCCACTAAGACCTTTTTGTTGGACAGGATTGTGCCCGGTGCCTGCTGTCCTGCCACGGCCGCTGGGCCCACGACGGTCGCCCCTGGGCGGCGGGCAGGTCATGCCCCGCAGCTCCCAGGCGCTGGAGACGGAGGTAAGGGCGGCCGCTGTGGCCCCCCCCACCCCAGGACGGGACACCGTCCCTGCTCATGGTCGTCGCTGCGGGCAAAGCACAGTGCGTGCCCTCGGGCGGCGGCGGGCGACTGAGCAGAGCACTGCCCCCCACGGGCCGGACAGCAGGTTCAGCGACAGCAGGTGCAGGTGCAGCAGGTGCAGGGACAGCAGGTGCCAGTGCCGAGCCTGCGAGTGCGCGGGTAGGCCTCTCCCCACGCCTCCCGCACCCCTAAGCCCCCGTGGGCCCCCCTGAGAGGCAGGAGCCCTCTCCCGCCACAGCTGGAGGCGGCTCCCCATGGGGCTCCGTCCTCCCGGAGCGCCTCTCACGGACGCAATGGGGCCACGGTGGCCTGGGGTCCTCGTCTCTGCTCCCGCGTGTCGTTCACATCATGGAGGCCCAGCAGCGCGGCGGCAGCGGAGCTGGGGCGCTCAATATGGGGCCGTGGGAGCCCAGGGTGGGACTGCCTCTGCTCCTGCCGCACTGGCCTCGTCCCAGGAGGGTCTCGCACACACGAGGAGCGGGGGGCAGAAAGGGCTCAGCAGCAGGAAGCTCCTGAAAGCCACTAGGGCTGTCATCCAGGATGCGGGGGAGCACGGAGGCGGGGACACCGCGGGCGTCACCCAGGCTGCGGGCCCCGAACACACCCACCCCAGGCCCCAGGGGACCCCGCTGCCACCTGCACACTCTCACTAGGGCCCAACTGTGTCCCCTGCAAAGCTGTGTTGAAGCTCCAGCCCCTGGTGTGACGGAGGGGCTGCTGGGGGTGGATGCAGCTAAGCGACGTGCAAGGGGGGCTCCGACCCAACAAGGCTGCGGTCTTTTTTTTTTTTTTTTTTAAGATTTTACTTATTCCTGAGACAGACGCAGGCCAAGAGAGAAGCAGGCTCCCTGCAGGGCCCCTGGGCTGGTGGAGGCTGGCTGGCTGAGGCCTCCTCCCACACCAACCTTCCCCTCCAGCCTCCAGGGCCGTCAGGAAACAGAAATCTGTCCTTTAAGCCACTTAACCTGGGATACTCAGTGATGGTGCGGAGCTGCCCGGGGCCTCCGCCCTCACCTCGGAAGCACCCGTCACTCACCCACTTGGCTCGGGACTGGGGGCCGTTCTCCCAGAGGCCGGGCCCCCCCGCCCCCCGCAGCTCGCCCACCGCGGGCAACACCCCGCCGACTGCTCCACGTCTTGGGTACAGCGCGGCCTCCAGGAGGGCCCCCACAGGACCCAACTTAAACGGACAGGCCAGCACTTTATCCCGCCTCCATGCCTGGGACCCTGCTCTATTTCTTTTCTTTCTTTTTCTTCTTAAGATTTATGAGAGAGAGAGAAAAAAAAAGATTTATGAGAGAGACAGAGAGAGAGAGAAACGGGGTGGGGGGGAAGGTAGGAGACTCCCGCTGGGCAGGAAGCCTGGCGCGGGGCTGCACCTCAGGACCCCGAGATCATGACCTGAGCCTGACGCAGTTGCTTAACCGACTGCACCACCCCGGCGCCCCTCCTTTTGTTGTCGGTGTTGGCAAATATTTAGAGAAAAAGGTGCGAGTGGGAGGGGCAGAGGCAGAGAATCTCAACAGACTCCTTACTGAGCTCGGAGCCCCACACATCGTGATCCCAGGACCCAGAGATGATGACCCGAGTGGAAATAGAGGAGTCAGGGCTCAATCTCCCAAGGCCGCCAGGCACCACCCCCTTGCTCTATTTCGGCACCACTTACCCCCTCTGACAAGCTTTGCCAGTCACTTTGTAAGGTCTCCCCTCCCTGCTAGAATGTTGGCTCCACGAGGTCAAGGACAGAAGCCAGGGAAATGAAATGCCCACACTAAACAGCGTTCCCGAAAGCAAGTGGGCAGGGACCTCAGATGCTACATGGGGCCTGACCGAGTGACCAAACGGTGTCTGCAGACGGGCCTTAGCCCGACACGAGAGGGCATGAAAACCGGAACCACACTGGCCTCAGCAGCGCAGCAGGTGCCCTCACCCGGGAACAAGACCAACAGCCAGGGGAGGAGTGTGCAGTGTGATGCCCTCCCAGGACACTTTTTTTGTTGTTGCTTTATTTCCAATAAAAAGGGAAAATACAACCTCCTCAACTGAACAGAGTAGGACTTGAGGAGATTCTTACATCTCACTGAGGACGCCTCCTGGAAGGGCCGGCTCTTCCCAGGTGACTGTGGTGGGGCTACAAGCCCGGTCAGTCCTGCAGTTTGAGCTCGCACTTCTTCTCCAGGTCGGCCATCTCCTTCAGCACCAGCGCCACGCTGTACCGCAGCTCCTGGAACTTGGCGGCGGGGACCTCAAAGCGGTAGGCTGACCCATCCGACAGCTGCAGCTGCATCAGGACGCTCGGCTGCAGGGAGCGGGCCAGGGCACTGGTGGAGATGGCCACATCCACTCTCCACCGCAAGCCGGCGACACGGGGCAGCCAGGCCCCCCGCTGCCCCGCCGCAGAGTTGAGGAGCCGCCGCTGGCTCCCAAACACCACGCTGGCCAAGTCCGTGACCAGGTCTTGGGGAACGCAGAGCTCCTGGAGCTGGTCCTTGAAGGCATCGGGCTTCAGGCTGGCGGCGGGCAGCCGGAGGGCCTGTTGGAGCAGCGTATGTGTGCCTGCGAGGAGGGCACCCAGCCGTTCCTCTGGCAGGTCTGCGGCCGCCCCGAGGCGCTGCACGGCCTCCCGGCAGTCCTCTCCCTGCAGACTGCTCACCACCAGCTTCAACAGCTTTCTGAAGGTGCCTCTGTCCAGGTCGCCCAGGAGCCGCGGCATTGCGGCCACTTGCGGGGGGAGCTGGGCCCCCAGGAAGCTCAGCCGGCCCGCGTGCCCGTCGCCGGGGTGATGCAGGTAGGGCGCTGCGGTGCCCACGGCAGACATGGCTACTTCTCCGGCCGGTCGGAAGCCCCGAGGAGAGTCCCCGCCGCAGCTGCCAGGGCGGGGAGAAGAGAAACCGTGACCCCCGCGTGCCCTGGGCCAGAAAATGAGGACTGACGCTGTGGCCTCAAGGCGCTGACAGCGGGAAGGGGGGCGCTGAGAGCGGGTGGCGGCGCCCGGGCGTCGGCAGGGGAGGGGGACGGGGTGCGGGCGGAGGCCCGGCCAACAGGAGGCTCACGCAGTCCTCGAACACATCACGGGGAGCAGGGGGCAGCGACCGCAGCCCCGAGAGCGGAGGGGCGGGCGGCCAGGCCGCGGCCACCTGCCACCCTACAGCACCCAAGGCGGAGCCGCCCCAAGGGTCTGCAGGAGCCAACGGGGAAACTGAGGCCCACACACAACCGCCCCAGGACTAGAACGCAGGCCTGTTCCCACGACGCGGGCGGGAGGGGCCGAGGCACGTGACGGCACGGGATCCGCGGGGCCGGAAGGGCGGTGTGACTTCACGGCGCGTCGCAGGGGCTGGCCCTGGGGCCTCCCCGCGGCGCCCGGCGGGATGCGGATCTCCTGGCCGCGCCCACACCCGCTGTCCCAGGAAGACCCGGCCGCCCGCCGCTCGGGACCGGCTACCCCCGCTGGCGCTCTCGCCGCCACCCGCGCGCCCAAGGAGCCCAGGGCCGGAGCCGTGCGCCGTGCCCGCCCGGACGGCCCCGTGGCCTGTGCGCGGCCGGGGAGCGGCCTCCGGAGCCCCGCGCGCAGTGACCGGGGAGCAGGCCGCGGCTCCGCGCGGAGGGGCCCCAGCCCCGCCCCCCAAAGCCGATGCCCCCACACCTGCAGAGCACTGCGCGCAGCCGCCGCTGGAGGGCCACGCCGCCCCCAGGCCGGAAGCGGCCCCGGGCCCCGGAAGCGACGGAGGCCACTTCCGGAAGCGACGGAGGCCACTTCCGGAAGCGACGGAGGTCACTTCCGGGCAGCTCTAGGGCGGCGGGAGGACCCTGGCCTCTGTGGTCGGGCGCGGCAGTCGGGGAGCAGCGACCCCCCCCCCCCGTATGCGGGGTCCCGCCCCGCCCCCCCGCTGCTGCGCGTCGGCCGCCCAGTCGTGGGGCTGCTTGGCCTCCCGGGGAGCTGAGGCTGCGGCGTGTGCGCTGCTTCTCGGGCCGTTCGCTCACGGCGGTGAAGGGGAGGCGCGGAGCCTCAAACTGAGCGGAGGAGTCCGTCCGAGAGGAGGCTCTGGGGCGGCCGGCGGTCGTCGCCGGGACGCGTCGCTGGCTGGTCGTTGGGGAGACGCGGTCCGAAGGCCGGGCCACGCCGCGCGGAGGAGGAGATCGGAGAACACGCGGGACCCGTCGCGTCCCCCGGCCCCGGCGCCGCTGCTGCGGGGATCTGGTACTGAGCCGAGGCCGCCGCGCAGACCCCGCTGCCTGCGTCTCTGCCGCTCTCTCTGTCTCAGGAATAAATAGTTTTTTAAAATTGGGCTCAAAAATAAAATAAAATAAAATAGGCTCAATTTTTTAAAAAATAATTTAATTTATTCCTGAGACACAGAGAGAGGCCGAGACTCAGGCCGAGGGAGAGGCAGGCTCCACGCAGGGAACCCGACGCGGGACTCGATCCGGGGCCGCGGGGTCACGGCCTGGGCTGGAGGCAGGCGTTCCACGGCGGAGCCCCCGGGCGCCCCCAAAATGGGTTCAATTTGACGTGAAAATTCATGGGACATTTCGGTGAGCGCGGAGCCTGGAGGCCAGCAGGGGGCGCCCCCCCCCACGTCCCCCAGCGGTGCACTCCCGGCTCCGGAGCGGTCCGGGGCGCCTCAGTTTACCACAGCGGCTCGCAGCGCCTCTGCTCCGCGGAGGGCCCCGCGGCCTGTTCTCCTGCTTATGCTTTTGGTATCACGCACAAGCATTCAACGTGGAGGAGCTTTCCCCCTACGTTTTCTTCTAGGAGTTTTATGGTATTAGGTCTTATGTTTAAGTTTTTAATCCATTTTGAGTTGATTGCATATTACATATAAGGGTCCAATTTCATTCTTTTGCATGTAGACATCCAGTTTTCCCAATGTGAAATAATAAGAAACATATATATGTTTCTGCCCCAAGTTCCTCCTAATATTTAGCCGTTTGAGTTGTTGCATATTACATATAAGGGTCCAATTTCATTCTTTTGCATGTAGACATCCAGTTTTCCCAATGTGAAATAATAAGAAACATATATATGTTTCTGCCCCAAGTTCCTCCTAATATTTAGCCGTTGACTGCAGTTCAACACCAAACTTCTAAATATCTCGTAATTTCCAAAGTGATAGGACTTTAAGGAGTTACCCTCAAAACCCTTGGAATTTCCTGGGTCATAGGACCGTCTTTTTTTTTTTTTTAAGATTTATTTATTTGAGAGACAGGGCACGCACAGGAGTGGGGTGAGGGGTGGTGGGAGAGAACCCTCAAGCCGGCTCCCCACTGAGTTCAGAGCACCACACGGGGCTCAGTCTCGTGGCCCATGAGATCGTGACCTGAGCCGAAACCAAGACTTGGATTCTCCACTAACTGAGCCACCGGACACCCTGCGGAATGTCTTGTTCTAATGAGGTGACTCTCAGTGTGCTCCTGAGCGGCTCTGAGTAGGAGCTTGGAATGCTCAGTTCTCCTACCTCGTCCCCCAGAGAGGGGAGAGGAACTGGAAAATAAGCTTGTTGTCAATCACACCCATGGGACGAAGCCTCCACAAGAATCCGCACGATATGGAGTCCAGTGAGCTTCGGGGTGGGAACGCTCGGAGATGTGGAGAGTGGCTCACCGTCAGAGGGGACGGAGGGCCCCATCCTTGGCCCTCCGCTTGTGCTGCTCTCCCAACCAGCTGTTCCTCAGTCACATCCTTCATAATAAACCGGGAATCCGGCAAGCAACTTTTCCTGAACTCTGAGCCACTCTCGCAAATTATCAAACTTGAGGAGGAGTCGTGGAACCTTTGACTTACAGCTGGTTTTTCAGAAGCACCGGTGACAAACTGGGAGTGACAACTGGCCCCTGGAGTAGGAGCAAGTCCTTAGGTTGTGGGGCTGCCCCTACTTCCCCAGTCTGCTCTTGCTCTTTGCATGGGCCTGGCATGGCCATTGTTACCCCCATGGCAGGGCTGCCGCCTCTGCCCCGCTCTGACATGTCATTGTCACGTGTCTCATGTGACTCCCAAACATGTCTGTGCACAGACCCCCCCCATTACAGCCCCTATTTACACTTTTCAGACTGAGGAAAAAAGGGAAACAAGAATTTCATTGGTGAACATTTTTACTAGCAGCTTCCTGAACCCCTGTGCTCTTCTGTTCCTGGCAAATACGCAATACCTTGCTTGGCAACTGTGGTGGCCGGGAGAATGTTCTGGATGCCTGCAACTACAGGAACTTCATTAACGAAGAGCTCCGTGGTTGAGCTCTGAAGCTTACCCTGGTGTGCTGAGGCCACACCTCTCAGGGCTGGTCCCCACCAGCTACTGCGCATGGCAGGGACACTAGGGCAGGCCCATTCCTGGAATACACAGGTCCCCAGGTGGCCGACTTGGTCTCAATAATTTGCTTAGATGGGACAAGCCTGGGATGATTCCACCCAAACTTTTCTCTCTGGGTCAGACCTGAATTGTGGTCTGATAGCTCTCTCCATCTTCCCTGACTCCCTATTTTCTCTCATGCCAGATCTTTCCCTGACATTTGCATGTTTAATCCTGTCTTCGTGTCTGCTTCTTGGAGGACCCAGACTAACACAAATGAACCATACTTGGGTGACCGGGAGAACACTTGGGACTGCCTAGCCCACTGGCTGGTGAGGAGGACACTGTCCTGGTCAGTAGGTGGTCCCTGGCACAAAATGCTGACTCGGTTGCTAAGCAGGTCACCTGTGGTGACCTGGCCGCATGACCCAGTGGGAGGAAATGCTGTGAGAGGTGCAATGATGCAAGCGCTTGGAAAATATGGGGAGAATGGTAGAATGACAGAGTCCTGGGATTTGGGCATGAACATGGCTGTGCCATCTGCAGAAGAGAATTCTATGTCATTTGAGAAAGAGGTCTTGGCATATTCCTGGACTCTGGTAGGAAAAGAATGCTGACCATGGGACATCAAGTGGCTATGTGTCCGCATACACCTCCCATTACGAAGTGAGGTCTATAAGGCCTGCAAAGGCATGTTAGGGAGACCCAGCAGCAATCCTTTATAAAGTGGAAATAGGGACGCCTGAGTGGCCCTGCCTTCGGCCCAGGCGTGATCCTGGGATCTGGGATTGAGTCCCGCATCGGGCTCCCTGCATGGAGCCTGCTTCTCCCTCTGCCTGTGTCTCTGCGTCTCTCTCTCCATCCGTGTTTACGTATTGGAAGACTTAATATTGTTAACATGTCAATACTTCCTTGGGCGCCTGGGTGGCTCAGTCGGTTAAGCATCTGCCTTCAGCTCAGGTCATGAGTCCCAGGATCAAGTCCCACATCAGGTTCCCCACTCAGTGGGGAGTCTGCTTCTCCCTCTGTTCCTCGCCCCCACCTGTGCTCTCTAATAAATAAACAAAATCTTTTTTAAAAAGTCAATATTCCGGGATCCCTGAGTGGCGCAGCGGTTTGGCGCCTGCCTTTGGCCCAGGGCGCGATCCTGGAGACCCAGGATCGAATCCCATATCGGGCTCCTGGTGCATGGAGCCTGCTTCTCCCTCTGCCTGTGTCTCTGCCTCTCTCTCTCTCTCTCTGTGACTATCATAAATAAATAAATTGAAAAATTTTTTTTAAAAAGTCAATATTCCTAAAGCAATTCAATGCTATCCCTATCAAAATCCAAATGACATTTTGCTTCAGAAACAGGAAGTCCCATCCTAAGGTTCATATGGAATCTCTAGGGACCCAAATAGCCCAAACAGTGTTGAAAACAAAGAACAAAGCCAGAGGCTCACACTTTCTGATTTTGAAATTTACTGTAGTCATCAAAACTGTGTGGTACTAACATTACAACAGACATGAAGCAATGGATGGAAATAGGAGACCAGAAACAAACCTTCATAGATATGGTCAAATAATTTTTGACAAAGGTGCTGAAATCATTAAATGGGGGAAAGGACAGCCTTTTCAAAAAATGGTGCTGAGAAATCCACATGCAAAAGAATGAACTTGGACTCAACACTATATACAAAAATTAACTCAAAATGGAAAAAAAATGGATCAAAGACCTAAATATAAGACCTGTAATTATAAAAGTTTTTGAATGAGCATAGGACAAAAACTTCATGACGCTGGATTTGCCAGTGATTTCTGGAATACAACAACAAAGGCCACAGGCAACAAATTAAAAAATAGACAAATTTGGGTTCATAAAAAAATTATAATTGTGCATCAAAACCACTATCAATAGGGGTGCCTGGGGCTCAGTTGGTAGAACATGTGACTCTTCATTTTAGAATTGTGAGCTTCAGTCCCATGTTGGGCATGGAGCCTACTTAAAATAAAAACTTTTTAAAAATTAAAATAGGGCACTTGATGGGATGAGCACTGGGTGATATGCTATATGCTGGCAAATTGAACTCCAATAAAAAAAAAATTCAAACATACCCCTGCTATCAACATAGTACAAAGGCAACACACAAAATGGGAGATAAACTTGTCAATCATAGATCACAGTAAGGGATTAATATCCAGATCATATGGTTAACTCCTAAAACTCAACAACAAAAACCATGACAACCTGAGTCAAAAATGGCAAAAGACTTGAACTGGCATTACTTAAAAGAATTTGTACAAACGGTCGATAAGTACATGAAAAGCTGCGCGACTTCAGCAATCATTAGGGGAATGCAGGTGGGCGCCACGCGGAGATAGCAGTCCGCCCCCTTAAGGACGCGACTGACCCTGCGTGCTGCAGGCTTGGCTGCCTCGGCCCAGGTCACCATCCGGGTCCGGGTCAAGTCCTGCAGCGGGCCCGCGGGGAGCCTGCTTCTCCTGCTG